ATTATAATACTTACTTTTATATGATTTAATATATATCTTACTAATATATTTGTAAAATTGTAATTATAAAATTATATTAAATCTCTGCAAAAAAATATTATATTTATCAATGAAAATAACATTTAATTTTAATTTGATTTTTTAAAATAATCATTGGACACTGAAAATTATTAAAAGAAAATATTTAAGTTCAAATTGTAGAACTTTTATAATTATTATAAATAAAAAATAAAAAATTCGGAGCACTTTATAATTATTATAAAAAAAATAACATAAGATCCTTATTTTTTATTTTTTAAATTATTCCTTCCAAATATATCTCATTTAAAAAAAATTGTCGTGGAGTGATGACGTCACACAGACACGTAGGGGGATCTCACACACACACATATATATATATATATGTGTATGTATATATTATATATAGATATATATATATATGTATATATTGTGGGCTATGAGGGAAAAGGAAAGTTCACGTGGTCGCATAATTGCTAAATTGCATATTAAACCTTATTGTAAGGGACAATTTATTAATTAAAAGTACAACTTTAGACTTTTAAGCACTTTCACCACTTCACCACAATTTAACTTTCTTTTCTCATTTAAAAAAAAAAACATAATTAAAAAAATAAGAAAAATAATATTATAAAAATTTAAATCATGGTTATTTTTATATTTTAATTAATAAACATAATTGCTTAAATAAAATTTAAAATAATGTTACAAGTTTGAAATTATAGTCATCTTTATATTTTAATTAATATAAGTACAAAAATTAAAGCTTAATTTAATGACATGCAAGAAGAAAATATTGCAATTACCCTTTAATTAATCAACTTGGTCATCAATATATACATATATATATACGTGCCTGTATGTATATATATATATATATGTATATTTAAAAATGCCCTAAATTTGGGGGAACAATAATTAAAAGCAACTATGATTAATATTGAGTAATCCTAATCTTGGATAAGGATTGGTCCAACATCTCCATAAACCTCTCCTTAATTAACCTAATGTAATAATTAATCAATGTAAAGCCTACTAATGCCGTCCTACTAATTACAGCTTATAATGGTCAGCTGCCCCAAGCTCTAAGAATGAAGAAGAGGGCAAGCTTATTAAAAAATTAAATAAATTAAACATAATAATTATTCTAATTATACTAAAAATTTATAATATTACGAGTTAAAATTGTATTAAAAATATAAAAATTTATCACTTTATTAATGTATTATAAATTATTGATTATATTTAATTTAATTGAAGTAAAATTTTAATTTATTAATATATTAATGAAATTACGATAAATAAATTTATTACGAATGAATAAATAATTATTTCGTGATAATTAAATTTCGTAAATTGATATTTTTATAGTTAAAAGAAAAAAAAAAATTTGCGGCCATAGTGACAAAGGCAATTGTAGAGCAGGGGGTGACCTATTTGGTCTATTGAATCCCCCAATGGACCAACCAAAAAGTGAAATTTATGGCATTGTTTAAAATACATATTATGATATACCCAAATACGTACGTACATATATATATATGTATGTATGTACATATTTATTGTATTAGGATATTGCTATTTTTCATGGTTGTAAAATAGCAATTTAGTATATTTTCTATTTACACTACCATAATTTTAATATTTTAAATCATAATTTATTAAAAATAATAAAATTTTATTAATTAAGGAACTAATATATTACCGCGCTCGTAATTGAAAAAATTTATATGACGAATATAATTTTAAATAGACAGTATTAACGTAGATTTTACTGAGACCGAATGAAATATTATTATGTCAAAATTTTATCATATAAATGGCGTAGTATATTTTATTAATTTTAATTAATGCACATAATTATAATTTTTTTTATACACCATTGTCCATAATATTAGTGAATTTTTTAAATATTTTATTTATTCATATATTTTCAATAGATATTATAATAAAATTTAATTGGTGATTCAAATTAAAATTTGTATTTTTAATTAATAGTTAAAATTTAAATTTGAATTTTACAAAAAAAATTATTATTTTTGTACGAGTAGAGGTAAAAATTTTAAAAAAGATTAAAAACTCGTCGTACAAGAGTTAAGAAATATTTATAATATCGTTAATAAAAAATTATTAAAAATTATTCGATACTTAAATATGAAAATACATTTTTTATCAAAAAAAATACATTTAATTTCAAAATACATTTTTTATAAAAAAAAAATACATTTAATTTCGTTAATAAAAAGTTATAGTAGGAGATAATTCGGTAGTTGAACATGAGAGGGGATAAGCTTCTAAAAGTTAAAAAGAAAACTAAAGCACTTCCGCGGAACTGATAAACACACCCGCACAAGCAGACGCAGACGCAGACACAGAGGAGGAGAAGGAGAAGTCAAAGCGTCAAAGGTTTCAAAAAATCTCTCACTACACACAATTACTATCATTACATACCTTTTTAACTTATATTATTCGACTATATGTATATATTTTATTATATACCCAGCAGACCCAGTTTATATTGCGGCTTGTTCTCTACTTCCTCCCTCATTTCTCACGAGCCACCTTTTCTTTTTTGTTTATTAATTTTCTAGTGTTTAATCAGTTTTCTCCATTTTCAAAACCTATCCAACTCTCTATCTATAAAAACCCACCTTCTCTGTCTAATCCCCTATCCTCATCTCTCTCTCTCTCTCTCTCTCTTTCTCTCTCTATATAAACACACCCAATATATATATATATATAGAGAACAAGAAATCCGTCTGTGTGTCTATATATACAAACACAGACAAACAGACCATTCTCTCGTTTCAATGTTCAATCAGTCTTTTTCTCCATTAGAGGGTGGCATGGAGATCGTGGAAGGATTCTGTAACAGCAACAACAACAACAAGACAATTACAGGCATTAATCATGATGATCAGGATGACGATCATCAAGAAGACATGGAAGAATTAAGGAGAGGTCCTTGGACTGTTGAAGAAGACTTTAAGCTCATCAATTACATAGCTAGCCATGGCGAAGGAAGATGGAACTCCCTCGCTCGCTGTGCAGGTAATTGTTATATATATATATATATATAATTATATATATACACATATCTGTATATATATGTTACCCATCATGTATTCATGTGTGCTTTCTAATTTTTTTTCTTGGAAAAGAGCCAAACAACAAGTTGCCCACTTGATTAGAGCTTTGATTAAAGCTTTTTAGCCCATTACTCAGCTTCCTTTTTGCTCATTCAAATGACCTTTTCCTCCATTTGTGTGCATATACACATACACACACACACATATGTATATATACCCACTGAAGAAAACCTACAAGTCTTCCTTTTTCTTCTCCTAATTGATTCTTCTTCACATGTACTTGGCGATCTATACATGTACATATACGATAATCGAGTACATGTAGTAAGATTAAGCCAAAAAAAAAAAAAGAAAAGAAGAGAAAAAGCTGCACATGTTTAAGGGGAAAAGGTATACATACATACATACATACAAATATATATATATATATATATATATAGAGCCAGGAGATTAACTAGGGAGATAATATTATCGATCATGATAATTGATATGATATTCCACTTGAAGAATAATGAGATACAAAAGGATCCGTACGTACATAAGATATTGAATAGATTTTCATTTTAAAATAAAGCTGAAAGCACAAACACATTCCAGTAGAGTTGTTTTGTACTACTCAAACTCTCCCACAAAGCTTTTTTTTTTTTTATTTAAAAAAAAGCACTAACTCATTAAATTAAAGGTACGAATTAATTAACTTCTTGTTAATTAACCATTAGTGGTAATAATATTGATTAATTAGTTAATTAATTAATTAATTAACTTTACCCAAAAAAAAAAAAAAATTATTAATTTCGTGTCCGACCCCGTATACAACAGGTCTGAAACGAACCGGAAAAAGCTGCAGATTACGGTGGCTCAATTATCTCCGCCCTGATGTTCGACGTGGAAACATCACTCTTGAAGAACAACTCTTGATTCTCGAACTCCATTCTCGTTGGGGAAACAGGTACTTACTTACATCTATACTCACACACACACACACACACATATATATATATATATCTATATATATACTAGTATAGATTGACGTCAATTACCCACATTGTAAGAACAGGAAAACACCGTTAGTCAACCTGAATCTTTCGCACCAACAGCAATCATCTAATCAATTCTGTACTGTTTTGAAACTATATATATAAATATAATGAATTGGGTAATTTATAAATTAATTTAATGTTAATTATATGTGTATAGATGGTCAAAAATCGCTCAACACTTGCCGGGAAGAACAGACAACGAGATAAAGAACTACTGGAGAACCCGTGTCCAGAAACACGCCAAGCAGCTCAAATGCGACGTCAACAGCAAGCAGTTCAAGGACACTATGCGCTACTTATGGATGCCTCGCCTCGTCGAACGCATTCAAGCCGCCGCCGCAGCCACCGGAAACGATCACCGCCGTTTGATCTCCACGGCGGACAACATCGACGGCGGTACGGTTCAACAATTCGCCGGCGGTTCTGGGATCCTCACGACGAACAACAATGATAATAACCACTACGGGACACCCAGTTACACGCCGGAGAATTCGAGCACGGCGGCGTCTTCGTCGGAGCAGTCGTTTGGGGCGCAGGTATCGCCGGGATCGGAGTTGACGGACTATTATACTATCCCGGTTAACGATAACCCTAACACGGATAACTATTTCCAGGCTAACAACGGCGGGGAAGTTGGATACTCAGAGTCGTTGGTCAGTACTTGCGGGAATTACTTCAACGGCGGATTAGGGTTTGAAGGTTTCGATCAGATGGACTGCCAGCCGAATCACAACAGTAATAATAATGGTTCTTGGAGCTTCCTGGACAGCCTTTGGAATGTTGATGATGCATGGTTTTCACAACAACCATTCAACATGTGAAAACTCAATTTATTGATGTTTTAGGAAAATTCAATTAGCTGAAAACCCAAAAAATACATATATATATATATATATATATACATACAGGATTTCATGATAGGACAGAGGAGTCTAGATTATATCATAATTAAACCTAGGGAAATTCAATTGTGAATTTGATCAGGTTTGATTATTTAGATTATTGTGAATTATTTTCTTTTGGTTTGTAAGGTGAGCTTTTTTCTTTAATTTTATTTAAAAATTATATCGTATATCAATTCATTGATACTTTTATTGGCTCAAATATTTATTTAATTAGCATAAATTAAATAATAATAAATTAAAATATGTGCATAATAATAATTGGTGGATCCACCATTACTTATATATAAATATATAATAATTGAAATTTATAAAATAGGAAATTTAAAAGCATATATAAGTCATGCTACTTTAGAAACAATTTGTCCACGGGGTCTGAACCAGAACATTAAAAGTCACACATCCAATAAAAAGTTTCTAGAAGACAACAAAAAAGCTTCTTTCACTAATCAACCTCCCCAAACGTGGCTTAACCACATTTCTTGTCTCATCCAGCTTCTTAATTGGCCATTAACCAATTTCTTTCGAAAGCTAATTACATCATTACCATAATTCATCCCTAATTACGTCATAATTATGTCTTAACCACTTGTTTCATCTTTTTTAATCAAGTAATTAAAATTTCGTAAAAATTAAAAGAGATCCGAGTTCCCGCAAAAGCTATGCGTCGCACGTGCGAACGGAACCCGGAAGCGGACAGAAAACACGTGCCGATGTTTGTCCGTATGGCGGCTGAGGAATCTCTTTAGTCCGCGTGCCGATGTTCGCCCCGGTGGTCCCCGCTCCGCCACGTGTCGATTCTTGAACTGGAATTTACGGTCTTTTTTTTATTATTATTATTTAATTTAAATTATTTTCTCAATAATTTAATTACCGAAGCACTCGTGGCCGCAACCCTTCAAATTACCGCATCCCCTCATTTTCCACGTATGACTTTATTTAATTAATTACACCCTAAAAAATACGCGTATTTGTATTTGTAATTGTATTTGTATTTGTATTCCTCTTTGTGGGCCCTCAATATATTTATTTTAATTTTTAATATCTCTAATAAATTAAAAAATGGGAATTAAAAATAAAATTAAAAAAAAAAGAAATATTACTCTACAACTGGATTCCACCACAGTTGCAATGACTTATAATGCCGACACGTTGATTTTGGGTACTTTTAGGCTCCGATCTAATCTTCAAAATGTTGGATCTTTTTCTACGGGGGCCCACATCGAGGTGGGACCACGACTTATGTTTCTAAAATTCCTTAAACCAAGCGGGCCCCACCGTCCTCTGACGTGGAACCTACGTGGCATTCCCGAGAAGTGGTCGGTTACGGGTTCCCCCGCCAACAATCGCCATTGCTTTCAGAGTTCAACCCGTGCAAGTCTCTCGGTTTTGATTGGATAAAAAAATTCGTATTAATAATAACAAATATTATAATTATCCCAAATGCTCAAATAATATTTATTTCACTAATAAAAATTGTATATAAGTACATAAACATACACACATATTATATACATATACATATATATATCGATTTCAAATGCGTTATGTATATAATAAATCATACATATATATATGTGTGTTAACCCAAATATGATATATTATATATACATATTTTTATTTGGGTTAATTTAATTCATATTTATCCCTCTATATATACAATGTCATACCCGTGATATTTATATATATATATAAAATTATGGTTTGACTCCACATACGAATTTATGTATGTGGGTGCATTTTATACAATTCGAAATCAAATTAATTCATTAATTATAATAATATTCATTTAATTGTTATTAGTTTATAAAATATTTAATTTTTATTAGATATATAATTTTTAATATTTAATTTTATCAACTTATAATAAATGGAGACGCAAATTGCTTGTAATATTAATGCCTTAATACTGGTTTTCTTGTTTGGAAATAACAATGCTTTCAAGTGTTTTAGCATTTAAGCCTCTTTAATTTTCTTCTAATAGCTTATATTTTAAGCCACAAGCTGAATTAAGTAGTTATAAGAAAGCACATTAAACCTAATAAAGCACATCACACACACACACACACACACATATATATATATATCTCACCACCACATGATCACCATAATTATCACCATTGCATCTCCTAATTTTAAAAAAATGAAGTACAAATAACTATAATACATATTAATTAATGGGTTTTATTCTAATAGTTATTCGTATTCTCGTTCAAAATATAAATTTAACATAAATATAATATATACTATATTATGTTATATTTTTTTTTATAAAAAAATTACAAATATACATTAATCTATTCATGGTAATAATGACATAATTTATATACATTTTCAATAGAACTTAAAAAAATTATAGCAAAAAATTACATGCATAAGTATATCTATATGTGTGGGTGTGTGTGCCCCCTAAATACTTTGTATATAACTCCCTTACTTTGCGTAATAATACACTAAGCTAATGTGTGATGGCGTTGCACCAAGACCTCAAGATCTAATCACAATCTCATACTTCCCAAAACCATTGAATTTCATGTGGGTTAGTGATGATTTACAAATGGGTTGTTAGTTTAACTTCCTAATATGAACATATATGTATGTATATATATACATATATATATGTATAGGTGTATGCATGTGTGTACATGTACATTCATTGTTGAAAGGGAAATTAAAAGATGTCGATGATGGTCAATCTATGGCCGTAACTAGGTATGGGGATGATCACATATTTGTCACACACTTAGTTTAGGTGCATGTACATAGCAACATCGTATAATGGATATGATTTAGTCTAATCCATATATGTTATTTCATGAATAGGCATCGAAAATGATTGTTACTAGAATTTCGAATCATCATCCCCACGAGCAAGTTTTTTTTAAATCAATAATTTTAAAATAGTCGAATGGTTCGTGTTCGCAAATTTGAATACTCCAAAAAAGTTAAATAACTTTGACATTTAAACAAAAATTTACGTACGAACTTTTTATAAATTTCATACTCAGTTTCTAATTTATAACTTTCTATTCACACTTGTTTTATATTTTATTAGTTGTGAATTTTTACCCGTCTGATTCGAAGAATATTGGTTCGAGAATTTTGAATAAATATGTGTAAAGAAGAAAAGGAAAGGTGGAAAAAGAAGAATTAAAGAAGTGGAGTGAGGATAATTAGGAATCAATTTGTGCGTCTAATCATAATTAGCAATCTTAATTTTGTATAAACAATTAGTTACCAATGGGATAAGTAGCCTAATAACCTTGACTGGTTTAAAAATTAAGTTGACAGGAATTTCATTGAATTTTAAATTAAGAATATTAGAAAATTGGAGCCAATCATTATATATATATATGTACATATAGATATATTTATATTTGTTGGACAAAAAATTAATATTAAAATTTAGGATAAAGTATAGTTTCATGATTTATTATAATTCAAGCTGATTCATTATGATTTAATTAAAATTATGATTTTTAGAATATTTGTAATTAACTAATTTAATAAATTAGTTTTAAAAATTTGATACTTATTATAATTTAATTTATAGTGTTTGTTATTTATTCCAAATTTTAATTTATTTGAATTTATTAACAGAAAAAAATGATCTAAAAAAAGGCACCTCTAAAAAATTAATTTTGACTAATTACTTACATTAAAATTTAATTAAAATTATTCTTTAAAGTTACTTTTTAAAGTAATAGGACATAATCTTATTATTTTAATTTTTTTATTATGAAATAAATGACATTAAATTACAATAAGAGAAATATTAAAAACTAAATTATAACATATGCTAAATATTTTAATAATTTATCTCAAAATAAATAAGTTTATGCATGATGAAAATTATGTTATATACTAATAATAGTATTATTATATTATTAAACAAATGTACAAAATGTTAAAGGTTCTAATCCTGTATTCTTTTTTCTTTAAACAGTAACGAGAGATCAATTTTAGATCGATTCAAATTGAACATACATATGCATATCCAATTACGACCTGCCCGCAAGAGCCTGGACCGAGTGTTAACTGAGGGCATGCCCGTTGGTTCCGTACATAGATGCCCCCCTATGCAAGAAACGCGGAGGCGTCAGCCCTGTCCCGTCTCTCGAAGCTCTTGCTCCGTAAGAGGCCATTACGGATGTGACAGGGGCTACGAGTCACTCCACGACACCTCTTCGCTTCGAGGTTTGGAACGTGCCTGCGAAGTAGTATCTCCGGGAATGCATGTGTTTAGGAAGGTAGGCCCATGAAATGATTTTTCTTCACCACAAGTGGGCCAAATTTTAAGTGGGATTGGGCTTCTAATGTGACACAATTATATAATTAAATCACAAAATTATTATATTTTGTCCCACAAAATTCCACATAATCATTATAATATATATAATTATATGGTTTTTTTTCATGATAATTTACCAAAAAAATAAAAAAAGTAGGGTAAATATAATTCATGGTATATATTTTAAAATTAAAATTAAAATAATTTTTATTTCGTTCAAAAATATAATAAATTCGTCGTAAATTTGCTAGGAGATTCAGGGTTTGGATTGGAGCGTGCTGACCACGACCGAGCATAACGTGTGGGAAATTTCTTCTTTCCTTTTACTTTTATTTGGATAAAATGTGTCTTACAAGTTACACCCGCAGTTATCCTGGACAAATCAACTACGTCTATTTGAAACCACGCGCCAAAAAAATAAAATGTCGCTTTAAAATAACGCGATATTTCCCCCACCTAAAATATCTTCGTGCCGAGATATTTTAGCTTCTTATCTCAGCCAATCGTCAGTTTCCACGTGTCCAAAGTGACTAAATAAACAATATTTTAAACAACGAACCACCAGTATTAAACTGCCACGTGTCAGTTTGCGTATAATGCTGCGGTAATCCGCCTTTTTGGAAAGCGGAACGGAAGCTGAGGAATTGAAAGAGAAAAGAAAACGAAAAACTTCACGCTTTTTTGATTTCCACACATTTGTTTTGTGATTTTCTCCTTTTTGTGGGGGGACCACCGCCGACCCATCTGATCCATTCTTAAAATATGCAAATTTCTTAAAAGACAATTTTACCCTTATCCAATAAAAAAATATTATATCATATTAT